CACACACACACACACACACACACACACACACACACACACACACACACAGTCTCCTCCAAATGTATCGGAACAGCAAGTCAAATTCCATTCATTGTGTTCTACACTGAAGACATTTGAGTTTAAGATCAAAAGATGAGCATGAGACAGTCAGCTTTTATTTCCTATTATGTACATGTAGATGTGTTAAATCAGTTTGGAAATATCCATGCAGCAGGACAATGACCCAAAGCACACTGCCAACAAAACAAACATCTTCATCAGTGGAAAAATATGCATGGTTTTAGATTGGCCAAGTCAATCACCTGACCATGACCCAATAGAACATTTCACCTCCTGAAGAGACTGAAGGGAGAAACCCCCCGAAACAAGAACTGAAAGAAGCTGCAGTAAAAGCTTGGAACAGCATCACAAATGAAGAATGCAACAGTTGGGCAGTCATTGCAAACAAGGGTTATCCCAAAAATTATTAAATGTTATTTACTTTAAGATATTTTGTTCCAATGTTTTGCTCACCTAAAAATCCTGTGGTGTAATACAAACTGTGATCTATCCTAACTGATWCAGCACATCTGCATGTAAATACCAGGAAATAAAAGCTGACATTCAGAACTCTTGTCTCGTGCTCATCTTTTGATCTTAAACCCAAATGTCTTCAGTGAACAACAAAAACAAGAGAATTTGACTTGCTGTTCCAGTACTTTTGGAGGGGACTGTACACAGGTCTGTGTTACCTGGACAACTTCCTCTGGAAACCCGACAGCAGCACAGTATTGCCAGGAATCAAACCAGGTGGGTAAGGGGTGTGGCTTAGGTCCAGGTACACTCGAAGACTCCGCCCAGTTTGGTCGCACAACGTGAGACGCACACCTGAAGAGATACACCGATACATTTAACTAGTACTACTCTAGCTGTGTGCGAATGTTTGTACCAGTATAACTGTTTACYTGTGTAACAGTGATTTACCTGAGCAGGTGTGTTTTACCTGTGTGGGCATGTCGAGGCTCTGTGATCCTGTTGCTCACACTGATCCTCTCAGAGATCAGACCCTGAAAACTCACCAGCTCAGAGCTGAAACACACAGATCAGTTAAATATTTATGAGTTTAGGTCTAAACAGGTGCAGCTTCATAAACAGCCACAGGGGGAGACACTGAGTCCTGCTTACCTGGAGTCCAACACCTGTGAGACAGACAGGCCAGCAGGGGAGACAACCTGAGGACACAGAGATAGGTAATTCATTCCCACAGATTTTAAAGTAAAGTAAAGATTTTGGAGCAGAAGAAGAAACRTGTTACCTGTCTGCAGGTGGGCAGCAGCTGGGGGAGTGTCAGAGTGTGGAACCTCCAATCAGATCTGACAAGAAGAGTGGAGTTAGTGTGAAGCTCCACCTCACTCCGCACAGGGATGCCACAGCCAGTCAGAACGTGAGGATCCTGTTGGAGAGAGAGCAGCTGCAACAGAGGGGTGTCCTAAACCACGCCCACCTCTGACATCATCAAAGTTAATTTACCTGAGTATTGGCAGCAACAAGTCTGTAGAAACATCCAGGTTGGAGCACAGGAAACCACCGAGCAGATACACCTGAGAACGCCAGCAGCACCTGCACACGTAAACATCAGGTAAACAAGTAAATACCTGGTAAATATCAGGTAAACAACAAGTAAATACCTGGTAAACATCAGGTAAACAACAAGTAAATACCTGGTAAACATCAGGTAAACAACAAGTAAATACCTGGTAAACACCAGGTAAACATCTAGTAAATACCTGGTAAACATCAGGTAAACAACAAGTAAATACCTGGTAAACATCAGGTAAACAACAAGTAAAAACTTGGTAAATATCAGGTAAACAACAAGTAAATACCTAGTAAACATCAGGTAAACAACATGTAAATACATGGTAAAAATCAGGTAAACAACAAGTAAATACCTGGTAAACCTCAGGTAAACATCTAGTAAATACCTGGTAAACATCCGGTAAACAACAAGTAAATACCTGGTAAACATCAAGTAAATATCTGGTAAACAGCAGGTAAACATCTAGTAAATATCTGGTAAACCTCAGGTAAACAACAAGTAAATACCTGGTAAACATCAGGTAAACAACAAGTAAATACCTGGTAAACATCAGGTAAACAACAAGTAAATACCTAGTAAACATCAGGTAAACAACATGTAAATACATGGGAAAAATCAGGTAAACAACAAGTAAATACCTGGTAAACATCAAATAAATATCTGGTAAACATCAAGTAAATATCTGGTAAACAGCAGGTAAACATCTAGTAAATATCTGGTAAACCTCAGGTAAACAACAAGTAAATACCTGGTAAACATCAGGTAAACAACAAGTAAATACCTGGTAAACATCAGGTAAACAACAAGTAAATACCTGGTAAAACTCAAGTAAACAACAAGTAAACATCAAGGAGGTTCTATAGAACTGGATTGTGCAAAAACCATGTGATCACACGGCTTCACCAGCCTAAACTGGCAAGACTCTGGATTTCCCATTACTGTACATGCTGACAACAGAGCAGAAAAAAAAGGACTGACGATGTAGAAATCATTAAAAC